CTGTTTCCCAGTTCATAGCATTTTTCTCTAGAGACTTTCAAACTGGGCTAAAATTGTTTCCTCTTTGACAAGAGTCCACACATACAAAATATATTTTTTGTTCTTCTGTTTTAACAAATTTTGCTAACCAACTTTTTAGTATGAAGCTAATTGCTTGCATCTTTATACATGTATCCTAATCTATTATCCCGGATTATGATTAGGGATGACAGTGTCTGGGTCAGAAATAAGGAATTGTTATGAAGTAATGGACCTATAATATTTGTTACCCAGGAGACAGAAGGTAACAAATCATACTGCATTCTCAGGAATAGACTTCAAGTTATTTAAGGTTGTTTAGATAAGGGTAGGTAGACATTTGGTTCCAAGCTGGTGAAACCCTGAGGCAATATGTGCAGAGTGTCCTTGGTGACTTAAAAATTACTCTATGTTGGGCTTCCCTGGTAGTGCAAGGGGTTAAGCACCACATTATAAAGCTATCCCGAGCCTTTGCAGCATGAGTTCGATCCCTGGCCAGCCAGGGAGCTACCCACATGGCACAGCAGACCTCTCCTATCTCGCCTGCTGCTCCCCTCAGTGGTATATTTCAGTCAGTCTGCCTGTTCTATTCCCTACTCTGCCTCTGGTAAATCTTCTCACCTCCTGCACCTCTGGCCTGTATCCCAGTTCTTGTATGGATAAGTAAAGAAATCTTTAAAACAAACCATAAAACAAACAAACAAACAAACAAATACTTCATGTTTATTAAAAGTCACTTACACAATAAAACTACCACCTGAGGGTCTCTTAGTCACCATCTTCTGAATATGCCATCCATGCAGAGGCATGATCTGGTCATGAAATTATGCTGTTATGGCACATCACAATTCCAGATGTTCCACCTTGCCCAAATAACCAATAACCCTATAAAAACCCTAACTCCCTTCAATAAGCCCAGAGGGTGCTTTGAGTGAGATCTCGAGTTCTCTTTGCTTGATTCAAGTATATAAAATTCTCTTGATATGAATCTTCAACTTGGTGTGGACAATTTGTGGATGTATGTGGTGAGAGGGAACCCTTGACTTCAGTAACACATTAACACAATCTGAACTGTAGCTCCCAGCATGCCATGAACCAGAGTTCCAGAATGGAGGTGGGCAGCTGGGGAGGAGGGAGAAACGGGTATGGCTGGTATATATTGGTGTAAAACAAAGAGGAAGAGGGATCATGTGGGGACACCCCAAGAATGGTGGAAACCCTCATCTGACCTTATGGTGAATTATCCCCTTGGATGGCACATTGTCAATTTCAGGATTCTCCTCCTGTCCCAGCTCACTAGAACCTGCCTACCTCCTAGTTTGCAATTCTCTGCTGGGAAGTGCCTTGGAACTTTTCTCCTGGTGACTTTGTAGCTTTAGACCCTGCCTGACCAGGTGGTCATTTGCCTCAGGGGCAGAGGGGGTGGCAAATACAAGGCTTTGTGTCCTTCTTTTTAGAAATGGGTAGATTCAAAAACCTAGGGATGGTGAGCAAGCCTCCTTATGCTTGCCTCTGGCATATGAACAGTATAGAGTGCATGCATTTTATTTTACCTTAATGACATTGGGGATTTAAATCTCTAAAGCTGCTGCCCTCACCCATTAGCATTATGTAAACATGTGGTTAATTGGATTTCTACTTCTTTATATTCCCTTGTGCATGCTGCTATAACTTCATAAAGATTGTTCTTTAAATTATTCACATTTGCATCAAATTGATGGACAGGAAGGCAAAATGATATTTATAGTGAAAGTGGATTAAAGGGGCCCAACATGTCAGAGTAAAGGAGAACAGAAGGACACAAGAATTTACTGTTATAAACCCAACTCTGTTAATATTATCTCCTTTCACAAGATGTTTTTCAGACCTTATAGTTGCAGATAAGAAAGCCCATAAGATCGGGGACTCCAGACCTACATGTTGACTGTGCAAGCATGATTGAGAAAACCCTGACCAAATTAACCAAGGTGTTTATTAACATGCTGAGATTTTAAAAGCTAACAATACATGCCAGTGTGAAAAGCATGTTGTGTGACTGTGTGTATGCCACTAGAGGACCTCTCAAAATAGGATCGCAGGCTCTATCCACCAGCCAAGCCCTCCTCTCCCCACATGCTAGCTACTTAATAAAATGCAAACCCACACCATGTTGGGGGAGACCTCCACTTACAAATCCCTCCCCATTCCCTGATGTCTTACAAGTCTATACTCTTGTATGTAAAACTCTGTATTTCCTCCTTTATTTTTTTCAGTGAAGATCTCAAGGACCCTGTGACAATAGTATGATTCACTGATGTCCTGAATATGTGGTGTGTAGAAGCTGGTTCTAAATTTGGATTTCTATTTATCTGACTAAGTTTCTGCTCTCTAGTTGACATACACCATATCTGATAAAAGTCACTACGTAGAACAAATCAGTCTTGAGGTGCTGTAACATACAGGTATCAATAAGGAGAGTGGGTAAGCAGATTACACAATTTCATCTCCCAGTTTTACAGCAATCCACACACAGTCTATTTTTCATGTATTTATATATTTCAAATTATGCTTCCTTTACTGTGCACAAGTAGCATTTTTGAACAATCCAAAAGAACATGGGATAATAAAATATGATGCAGGTAGTAACCCTTAAAAACTATTATAAGAGCATATTCATAGATTCATAGATTTTTTTCTTTCCCCAGCATGATAACTGTAACAGGTCCTATTAAAGGCCCTACTAAAATGTGTTTTATGGGGTTTTACATAAATCCTGAAATGTTTACACACATAAGCTTTAAAAACAACAACTAGAAAATCTAAGAAATTCAGTGACTCTTAAGTTCTGTATTTGTAAATGGATAGTTAAGAGTGACTTATATTTTAAGAAAAAAATAGAAGAGTTCCTAATGGTCTTAAAATATACGACAACAAACATGTTATCTCAACATGATAATTCAGAGCTTTAACCATCAGTAACTAGAGCAGAGACTTTGAAATACACACATATTAGGTACATAAACAGATGAATCCTCTTTACCTCTAGCATAAAGAATATGTATGTATTTATATACATTATCTTAGTATCCACAGCAATTTGTGTACTTTCTTAAAAGTTGTTTTAAGTATTATGTATGTCACATATATATTGTTTTATTAAAGTAAGTAAATATGGATTGCTTACTTATATATAATTTATTTACATATATAATTTGCTTGTCACATTCTACACCCTTATTTAACTGTGTTGCTAATTTCTAATAGACACATAAGAATGTTAAATGACTATAAAACTGAGTCTACCAAAGGGAGAAGTGAAGGGAGAAGGGACAGAATAAAATGGGGAGGGAGCTCAATGCACTTTGGATATGAGGATGGACAGTGGATGCTTTGGGGTAAGTATGGTGTAATAGCAACACCTGAAGGGGGAGATTTGTACCTCTGTAAAACAGGCAAAGGTATAAACCAATGTCACCTGAATAAAAAATATATGTATATGGGGAATATAAAAATAAAATTTATTTAAAAATATATGTATATAGACACATGAATGTTATACTGTATTTTTATGTTATTATTTATTTGCTTGTTTCCCACTTAGTATCCATGACACCTTTCAGTGCTTGGATAACAGACATGGAAAGCTTCACCTCTCCAAATATGAAATGAGCATTCCTAAAAAACAAATCACAAATACCTACTGGAGGAAGTAATTTACAACACAATGATGAAATGGTTGACTATGAACTACTACATGGAACTTTTGAAAAGAGCAGAAAATGGGAAAGACCTGGAAATGTTCTTGGAGGGTCGATGGAGGAGTTAATCATTAGTAATTACAACACAATGGTGTACTTTGTCAATGCTTTTTCCATTGCTCTTATAACCTAACCAAATAAAAATATTTTATTATTTTTCAGGTTTGTTGAGATAAAAGTGGCAAATAATATTGGGTATGTTTAAGATAAATGTATAATTTGTAAAATGATGACCACTATAAAAGTAATAAACAAATCCATCACCCCACATTTACCATTTGGTTGTCTTGAAAACACTTAAGATCTACTCTCAGCTAATTTCAAGTGTACAGTGCATTATTGGTAACTATAGTCACCATGCATACAACAGATCCCAGAGCTTGGTCATCTCATAGCATAATGATTGCAATCTTTGACCAATATCACCCAATTCCATTTCAGCCCTCTACTCTCTGCTTCTCTGAGTTCCACATTTTTAGATTTCACACATATCTAAAATAAACAGTGTCTATCTTTCTCCTTGATTTACTTGTTTTTTACTCTAATGCCCTCCAGGGCCATCCATTCAGTGAAAATCATTGGTTTCTACTTCCTCAAGGTGTGGATTTATCTGCCTTAAGCCTCTTTAGTCATCATATTCTCTTCCCACTAGCATTTTCTCTCCAAACTTGCAGCTTTTTAGATCATTTCCTCTCTGAACTTGCATCTTTTCAGATCTGAGAGTCAAGATCTCCTTCCAACAAAATATTTCTTTTATACTAGACTTAGGCTTTTTCTTCTGTTTTGGATATAATGTCCATGGTTATTACTTCACAGTTATTCTATGGCTTAATATGAAGGAATTTCTTGGTCTGTAATGTTAATTACTTCATCTGGATTGTAGGATTCATTAGTACAAAAGTACTTTATACATCAGTGAATAAAAAGCACATAAAAACACAAAATTCATTTAGTGAACATGCAATAAGTTTTGTGTAATGAATAAATGTTTGAATGCAAAAAAAGAAAAATAAATGTTTGTCCAAATTAGAAAACTAAGATTTCAACAAATAGGATGTACCATATACAATTTCTGCACATATAATACACATTACATCTTTGACAAATGCACCATTATTGTATTGGACTTTAAAACAAACACTTACATCATAAAATTACAGTATTTCAGACAACTTTCTCTTGCAATCTGCCATATAATTTTACAGAAACAACCACAACGTGTTTGTGTGCACATAAAATAAACTTTTAAAACCACGTTTTAGTTTTCAGTTTTACCAGGGCATCTTTCACGTCCTTGTTCCGTAGACTGTAAATCAGGGGGTTCAGCATGGGGATCACAAGGGTGTAAAACAACGAGGCCATTTTGTCCTGGTCCAGGGAGTAGGCAGAATTCGGCCGGAAGTACATGAAGAGCATGGTGCCTTGGAAGATGGCCACGGCCGTCAGGTGGGAGGTGCAGGTGGAGAAAGCTTTGAACCTGCCCTCAGCAGAGCGGATTTTCAAGACCGATAGGAAAATATAACAAGAAGAGACAAGAACTCCTGAAATCATACTCAGTTCAATGAAGCCAAAAACGGTGAATAACGCTAACTCATTGACCTCTATACTAGAGCAGGAGATGACATAAAGCGGGGGTAAATAACAGAAGAAGCGGTTAACCTCATTTGACCCACAGAAACATAAGCAGAAGGTTAAGGTCGTGTGTATCAGAGTGTCTCCCAAGGCCACCGTGTAAACCACAGCCAGGAGCCGGGAGCACACCCTGCTGGACATGTTGACTGTGTAGAACAAGGGGTTGCTGATGGCCTGGTACCTATCAAAGGCCATGACTGCCAAAAGAACACACTCGGAATCTATAAAGATACAGAAAAAAAAGAATTGCAGACCACAGCCAACCAAGGAGATTGACTTGTTCTTGGCAAAGATGTCCATCAGCATCTTGGGTCCAACAGCTGTCGAATAGCCCAGGTCACAGAAAGCAAGGTGGCTGAGGAAAAAGTACATGGGCATGTGCAGCTGAGAGTCCATTATAATTAGAAAGATCATTCCCATATTTGCTATAAGATTAATGAGATAAGTGATTAAAAATAAGGCAAATAGGATCACCTTGTTATCAGGATTATTAGTAATTCCCAAGAAATTGAAGTGTGCGACAGAGCAATTTCCTCTCTCCATTCTTCTTTGTTCTTGTCTACACTTTTGAGAAAATAATAGAGAAAAGGAAAGATACATGATCTACTTTTGTTGTCATTTTTAAAAAAAAGTCTTTATGACTTAAAACAATTCCCTTTTTTGATTTTCTTTTGTATTATTATTTAACTGTCTTTAAATAAACCAGTAACACCTCTTTAAGAACATTATGCAAGCAACTTGAAAATAAAAAATATCTTGTATTTGTTTGATAAGTTAGATAAGTTGAGATAAGTTAGGTAAGTTGAGAAACTTTTATTTAAATCTAGATGTCATTCATGAGATATGTGATTTTCTGCAACTCTCATTTTCCTTACCTTTCTAATTACCTGGAGCATTCTGAATAATATGAAAGAAACACTATTGTTGACTGTTAGAATAAGAAGCTAAACATTTTATATGCTTGATATAATTCACGTGGACAGAAAATAAGATTAAAATTGCTATATTCTGCAAACATGATTGTTTAAAAAAAGATTTTTGTATTAGTTTTAGAAACAATGAGAATAATACTCAATACTAAGGAATAAAACTATGTTACATGCTCTTTATTGTCCTTAGTATTTGTTAGGACACAAAACAAACATTATTAACTTTTTGTCTTGAATTTATCATTGCCACAATATTCATTACTTATTGCGAATGTATTCTCATATCTAAGGAGGATTCCTTTACCATAGGAAAATCCTAAAAAGCAGTGGAAACAACAGTCTTTAAATTTTTATTGAGATACCATCTTACACCAGTGAGAATGGCACATATTAAAAAAACTAGCAACAACAAATGTTGGCGAGGTTGTGGAGAAAAAGGAACTCTCCTGCACTGCTGGTGGGAGTGCAAACTGGTCCAACCACTATGGAGAGTAGTGTGGAGATTTCTGGACCTACTAAACATAGAGCTTCCATATGATCCAGCAATTCCAATCCTAGGTATTTATCCAAAGGACACAGAAACATCAATTCCAAAGAGCACCTGCACCCCTATGTTTATAGCAGCACTATTTACAATAGCTAAGCTTTGGAAACAACCCAAATGCCCAAAAATGGATGACTGGATCAAGATGTGGTACATATATACCATGGAATATTACTCAGCGTTCAAAAAAGATAAACACATGCAATTTGCAGCAACGTAGATGGCGCTGGAAGGGATCATGCTCAGCGAAATAAGCCAGAAAGAAAAAGAAAAAATACCGGATGGTCTCACTCATAGCAGGAATATAGAAAACCTAAATAAGGGACCAGGAAAAAGAATAGCTATAAGAAAGATAAAGTCAAAATCAACAAACAACTATGAACCAGAGACACTCTATGGGGCCATGGGGGTGGGGAAAGGAGGGCTTGGGGTCAAAATAAGGGGGTTGCAATTGTATGGGGAATATAAAAATACAATTTAAATTAAAAAAGTAAAAAATAAAAATTCCAGAAAAAATTTTATTTCATTGCATTTTTGATGGAATTTTATCTTAAAATTGGAAATGATATTTGGGACAATGAATATTCCTGAGATAAATAGGTCTCTCTTTCTTATATTTGTATGTATTTTTGTATAAGTTTCATTTGTTTTTATGTGTGTATTTCTATATTGAAATAATAAAATTGGAATGTGTATGGATATATTCTTTTAGACAAGTAAATATGACATCTGGTTCACCTAAGTTTATTTCCACATCTGGTTGTCATGTAGTGCCTCAATTACTTAAGTTCATGTATAAACTTGCCTCCTGGTTGAAGGAATAAATAAAGACCTTCCAGTAAGTGTATATTAAAATCAAATAACTAAAATGTTGCTTTGTGGATACTAATTTTTGTCAGATACTTTCAGTTCTAGAGAATAAAAAATAACATGTGATCATTAAATTTCAGATTCATTTACTAATCTCTCAATTTTTATTCTGAAAAGGTCACTTTCTTCCCCTTTACTTTTTAAAGTTGAAGACCTCAGAACTTACCTGAGATGAGGAGGTCTTAGATAGATGAACAATAGGCATCTGACTTTTATTTTATCAGGTGGCATTTGGGATTTAAATCTCGGAAGCTACTGGCTTTGGGCTTTGCTATGATGCAAACTTGTCATTAATTACACCTCTGGTTCAGGTATTCCCCAATGAGCACAGCAACAACTTTAACAAAGACTGAGCTCTAATGTTTCAATATGCCATCTAACTAATATGTGTTATAAAGAAAACTGCTAATTATCTAATGAAATTCAAATAGAACTCTACTTAACCGTTTCCAGATCCTTTCTATTGTTCCTTTTGTTTCTTCCCATATTTCTTTCCCTTCATGGCCATATTCATGAATATTACTAATTAATCTTTAATGATGTATCTTCATTTTTCAAAATATAATTCATATGCATGTAGGATAGTATATGTTAGCCTTTATATTTTCTTATGCTGAATATGTTACCCTGACATTAAGGAGATGAAGAAATTGAGCTTTAATAAGATAATTATACCTAGGTTAAATGGTCACCATCTACCAGTAAATGACAATACATTGCTGATTTGAAGTCAGATCTCTCTCACTACAAGTCCAGCACTTAAACTGTCACCATTATCATTTTCTTAAAATGAAAATATAATTCAGACAGAAACTAGAGTACCTCCATATTCATTTCTTGAAAACTAAATAAAACAAATATCCTTGAGTACATGAAATTATGTTTTTCATATCTGGATTATAATTGCTTAAAATGAGGAAAGAATATGACATTAAATTAATTGCATTATCAAAACATATTTTATGGCTACCTAACATACAGCAACTCAGTCATGACCACTATAAAAATGTGATTTGGGCCTCCCCTGGTGGGGCAGAGGTTGAGCAATGGGCTGCAAAACTGCCCACAGCATCTGCAGTGCCAGTTCAATCCCCGGCTGCCAGTGAGGGTCCCATATGGTGCAACAGACCTCTCCTGCCACGCCCGCTGCTCCCCTCAGCAGTTTCTTCGGTCTGCCTGTTCTGTTCCCTGCTCTGGCTCTGGTGAATTCTTTTACCCTGCCGCACTTCTGACTGTACCCAGTGCTTGTATAAAATAAATAAATAAATCTTTAAAAAAATAAATAAAAATGTGATTTGTATAAGGATTTAGTGTTTCTCAGATACACAGAGCTGAAATAAGTCATTACAAATGGATGCTAATATAAATACTACCTTGTACCATGTTTTATTCTATTGAGTATATACTTGTTAATAATTTTTCCTTTACAAGTTAAAATCTATCAATTGGGCATTTTTACATTATTAAAAAAAAATAACAGGCAGATGTTAAAGGAAATGAAGTCCTCTTATCCAGTGATCTTTGGAGAAGGTCCAGGTCTTTACCCTCAGTACCCATTTATAAATTTCAGTACCGTTGTCAATAGTGCCATATTTGTTTTCCAGAGTGAGGGCAAGGACAGTGACTCACATAATGATGAACAAAGGTTCCCCCTGATATAACTGGGCAGAAAGTAAGGAATAATAGATCCGAGAAGTTCTCAACATCAAATGATCCCCATCTTTGACCTTTATTCAGCCTGGGCCAGAAACAAGAAGCCTAGATGAATTTCATCTAAGATGAAAATACTAGAATAAAATAACATAAAATAAAGGGATTAATTTTGCAGGATGTGTGCATTCTTTTATCCAATAAATGTTCTGGCATTGTAGAGCTGAACTCTGTAACTAGCCCTGAGTTTATCAACCATTATGTTCAGACAAAAGACTTCTTATTTACTCCTTTATCTACTACTATATATTTCTAAGAGGGTACTGGACCATTTACAAGGTGATACTAATACATAAGAAGTATATAAACAAACCAATTTAAGCACTACACCGCTATATGAGCAAGTTTATTAAATACATGATTTTAAAAACAATTTTGGAATCCGAAGGTGGCAAAGCTGATTTGACAAGGGAGTAAGAGATACTTGCCCACCATATCTTTTTAGTACACAAACATGAAAGAGAAGGGGATGAAAAAAAAATTATATCTGCATTACCAAAGCAAATCTACTAACATTCTTCTTTATATTGAAAGAAGATTAAGATCAATAATGAGGGTTCCCCAGACTCAATGTAGACATAAGTATGGAAAATATCTAGAATGTTGTACTGGTGAGAATGAAGGAAGATATACTAAAGTAAATAAATCTTAGCACAAAGAATATTTAAGTAAGTACTTTGGGCAAAATAACCAGGTTTACCAGAGATGTAGTTTAATGCTGATTGCTTTTTTCAGGGCACCCTTCACATACTTATTCCTTAAGCTGTAGATGAGTGGGTTTAACATAGGGATGACAACTGTGTAGGAAACAGAGGTTATTTTGTCCGTGTCCATGGAATAACTCGAGCTGGGTCAAAAGTACAACTACAGCAGCGTGCCATGAAATACAGACATAGCCATCAAATGTGAGGCACACGTAGAGAAGGTTTTGTGTCTTCCCTTCGCTGAGCTCATTCTCATGATGGTATCAATGATGTAGTTGTAGGAGAGGAAGATGGTAATGATGCTGCACCCCAGAATAAAGCTACTAACAGTGAACAAAAGCATCTCATGAAAGGATGTATCTGAGGTGGTGAGGGCCAGCAGGGGAGGGATGTCATAGAATAAGTGATTGATGATATTGGAAGTACAGAATGTTAATTAAAAAATTAAAGTGGTATAGACTGCAGAATCCTCCAAGCCCACTATGTAAGTGATAGCCACTAACTGGGTGCAGAATCTTCTGGACATGGCAACTGTGTACAGGAGTGAGTTGCAAATGGCAACATACCAGTCATAAGCCATGCAGCCGGCATGAGGCACTCCACAACTGCAAAGGTTACCCAAAAATACATTTGCATAGCACATAAATTATATGGGATCTTGTTTTGCTCATATAAGAAATCAGCCAGCATCTTGGGAGAGACAGAGGAGGAGTAGCAGGCATCACAGAAAGACAGATTGCTCAGGAAATAATACATGGATGTGTAGAGTCTGGGATCCACCTTGATCAG